TGAGTTCCAGGACAGCCAGGGGTACACAGAGAAACCCTGTTTTCAAGAAAAAAGATGCTTGGGATATAGCTTAGTGGCAGAGCTATATCTCCAGCTGTTCCTGCTTAGAGGACAGCCTCGGTTTTTACTGTGGGCCAGTTGATCGAAGTTAGGAAATAGCATTATGAGGATCAGCCTGAGAGGTTCACTGAGAATCTTAAAAATAGCTACCCCTAACTTGGTGAGTTTAGCCTTGAATAGGGTTCAGGGGTCCCAGCTTTAGAAAAAGACTGATTGTGTGATCACCATGTTTAAGTGTAAAATTGAACAGCAACTGACCCAGAATTTAAGGCAGAAAGGAGTCAGAATGAAGGTACCGAGTGCCAAGCTTTCATTCTGTCTTAGTTATCATCTGGCATCAATATGCCCATGTGAAAAGTCAGCACTTTCAGCAGAAACAGCATTATGTCCTGTTACATTTATAGATGTAATCAGTCAGAATAGGGTAATGCTGGGTTAGGATGGAACCACAAACTTCTGTCCATATAAGAAAAGGGACATAGAAGAGACAAGCCCATGCTGGGACAGACACAGAATAGATGGAACTGCAAACAAGACCTGCAGAACAGCACCTGAGCTGGGGAAAGCACACAGGACAGCTGTCAATAAAAAACTAACCAGAACACCAAGTAAAAGCTAGGTGTGGTGGTAATCATCCATGACTCTAGTGCTGAAGGATACACGTAGACCTCTGGAGTTCACTGGCCAGCAAGCCTAGCTGAGCCAATGAGCTCCAGAATCAGTGAAAGACCCTGAAAAAAAATAAGGCACTGAGCAACTGAGAAAGACATCTGGTGTCAACTTCTGGCCTCCTCATACAAACATGAGCTACACCTGCACACAACTGCATGAACACTTCAACACACTGTGCACACACATATGCACATGCACATGTGAGCACACACTCTCTCTCTCTCTCTCTCTCTCTCTCTCTCTCTCTCACACACACACACACACACACACACACACAAACCTTGCATCTTGTTGCTGCATCTAAAGGCACCACACCTTATTTAATCCTTGAGATGCCCACTTAGGTTATCAGTGCTCCAATCAGATGCTGAGGAGACATACCTGTGCACTCTTCCTATCACACCAGATACTTTTTTTGTTGTTTTTTTGTTTTTGTTTTTGTTTTTAGAGACAGGGTTTCTCTTTGTAGCTTTGGAGCCTGTCCTGGCACTCACTCTGGAGACCAGGCTGGCCTCGAACTCACAGAGATCCACCTGCCTCTGCCTCCCGAGTGCTGGGATTAAAGGCGTGCACCACCAATGCCCGGCTCACACCAGATACTTTTCATTTCTCTCTCCAGATCTTCAAAAAGAAATAGAGCTGAGGAAAGTTAGGTAACACGACTTGGAATTCTACCAAACACAGACAATTGGAGAGTTCATTACAGGTTTTGTCGATAACACATAATTGGCCTGTCTACAGCCATAATTAGCTTTGTCACGTGGCCAAAAGGCCAATTCAGTTCCACCACCAGCTGTTGTTTTGGCTGAACTGACAGTCAGGCATGGCCACATGAATCCCAAGATCTGTATATGAGTCAGACTGACATCTAAATTTATAGGGGTAAATGCATGAACTGGGGTCCCCTGTGGGGTTCAGGCAAGTGGCCTGACATTGCAGGGAAGCCTAGGAATCCTGGGGTACAACACAGCATCTTACCTGGGAACTCCTAGGGATTCTAGTTCTAGGCTGTTTCTCAGTACTGGGCTCTGGTTTCCATAACTCTTCACTCTGCCCTGCTGAGGTTTAATTGTTCCCTTTTCTTCCCATGAGCCCAGGATTCTGCTCCTGTTTCCCATGGGTTCTGACATATGGAGGGTACCCTGGTTCCTTCAGTCTTCTTCCTTAGCATTTGAATAATCCACAGGCCAGCCCATATCCTGCAACCCCTTGTGCTTGGGAAGTCTTCATCATAAGGCCAAACCATTCCCTCAGTGGACATACATGACAGGCACAGTCTCTTCATAAGATGGGAATGGTGACTCCTGATTAGTATATGAACTTTTAAACCCAAAAAGTATGCACCCTACCCACACTCCTCAGGGAAGACTGACATAGATGCCACGGCCTTTCCATGTTTGTGAATGGGGACCCCACAGTACAAGGCAAACACCAGCACTGCTCAGTGTCACCAGATTTCCAGCATGTTTGGAACATATTGGGGCCTATGGGGTGCTTTCTTATTGACTAAATTGAAGTGGTAATGAGTTTGCCCCTGTTTTCCTGAATACTTACTGACACCTCACTTCTAAGTCAAGTGTGTCCTCTGGGAAGTTCTGCTTCTTCTGATGGACTCTGTATTCTTTGGGGGAGACAGCCCTGATAAGAGGCTGTCTGGTGATGGACCGCTGTTCTGTGACAGTGGAATTCAGGGTGCTGAGGCCACTGTATTGCTGCTTGGGGGCATTTGTTTCTGTGTACAGCGTGACAAAAGTTTTGAGAATCCTTCAAGGGACTCACTTGAAGGCTGGGACAGAGCACCTGTCCAGTAAAGGCTGGTGGTCTCTCTGTCCTATCTTTTTGTTTTGCTTCCTGTCCTGGGAGGCTGCCAGGAGAAGGGCTAACCTCTTAACCTCTTAACCATAGAACCTCCTTACTGTTCAGTGAGGCTAGCTGTCAAGCACAGTCTGCATTCATCTTCCTAAGTATCAGGGCTCTGAGTTTTCTTTTTCTTTAAAAAAAAAAAAGGAAAGAAGAACGAGAAATTGATGATTTTTAAGAACTACAGAGCATATTGGATGCATTTGGAAAAGCCGGCCTTTCTGTAAGCTCAGGATGGCAATTTAATTAGTCTGTCATGCAAGATCATTAATTTATCAAAAGCCCTGAATTCTACATGAGACAGGTTATTAGTGGGGGACACCATTGATGTTATTTTTTATAGTCAAATACACAGAGCTTGCCAGGCTCCAAACAAATCACATTTTGCTCTCTTGCCAAAAGGAAAATCTATTTCTTGATATTGTTTAGAGCAGAAAACTACATATTGATTTAAAAATACAAATGAGTAAACCAAGTCCCCCAACTCAGCTATAACATGACAGAGAATAAAAAGGAGTAAGTGGAAGTCAGCAGATACAAAAGAAGAAAGACTCCAGAAAAAGAAAAAAGCATGAGCTCACAGTTCTACATGGAGGCTTCCAGAAGCCCTGACAAGGCTCTCATAACAACATAACAGCATGCCTTATTCAGTGAGTGAAAAGGAAGAAATGATTGCTCTATATCCTTCCGAGGATGGCAGGGAAGAAGTCTGACCCATCGAGTTCCACGTAAAATGTCAAGGTCGTGTCCTCATCTGTAATCCCACCTCTTCCTGTGAGATGGAAAGTGGAGAGAGGAGAGTCACCCAGAAGCCTGGAGTACACAGCACAGCAGCGGAAATAAGAGAGACGCTGCCTCAACAAGACACTGAGGATCGTCTCCTGAAAGCTGTCCTTCAATGCCATGCACTCGCAAGCCACAACACACACACACACACACACACACACACACACACACACACACACACACACACACACACACTCAACAATTTAAAACTTTATCAAAAATATGACTCAGTTATCATAGTCTGTAGGACGGGATTGGGGCTATGAAGATGCTTGATGAAGAGGTGGAAAAATAAATTTGTCCTTGTTGAGTGGCCCCAAATTATCTCCTAGGGTCTGTCAGGTGGTGCAAACAGGCAGACAGCACACTCCTTCGGAAGGGTGATTTGGGGTACAGTCCAGTTCTGTCTTCAGGGCTGCGACTGACAAAGACATTGGCATTTTTCAGAACACTAAAAGGACTTTGGAGCTGTGAACTCGGTGATTCAGATAGACCCCAATCTTAAGCACATTTATACGTCACTTTCAGACCAAAGCAAATGGTTTTAAAGTTGTGTATTTATTTTTTTGGTTAGTGTGACAAAACACCAGACAAAAGCAACTTAAGGAAGAAAGGATTCATTGTGAGTCACAATTTTAGAAGACAGTCCAGCATGAGAAAGGCATGGTGGCAAGATGGTGTGTGAGACACCTTGTCATATTGAATACACATTGAAGAACCACAGAACTATGGGTGCTGGTGCCAAGATCACTTTCTCTTTTTTGTTACTGCAGTATGTGTGTGATGTGTATGTATGTGGGCACATGTGCTATGGCATGTGTGTGGAGGTCAGAGGACAACTATGTAGAGTTGGGTCTCTCTGCCACCTAACTGAAGTCAACAGGCTTGCATGAGCCATCTATTCCCCGTTGAACCTCCTCCTTTTTATTCAGTTCACTTTCTTAGACCAGAAGGTTGAGTCTTCCCCTGTTAATGCCCTCAGACATGTCCAGAGATGTATCGTCGTCATGGTGAGCCTAAATCCTGTCAAGTTGACAGTGAACATTAACCATCACACCTTGGTTGCATCTCTTGTATACACCAAAGTAGAACCCTCCTTTTCATCTGGATCCTTCTGTCTCTTCTTCTTCTTCGTTTTTTGCCAAAACTTTCCTAACTTTGTTTCCAAGATACCTGGACCACTGTGTCTTTTCCTCATGCTGTTATCAAGCACATGTTTCCTCTTCACCTTTTCAGAGTATCCTGTGATACAAAACGCTACACACGCTGTCTCCGTTGCAGCTTTAATTTGCTCATTTATTACACTCTTCTGGAGACCCTGGAGTCCATTAACCTTCTATTCAGTGACATCTGTCTTCTTACACATGTAGGCATTGTGGCTGAGAGCTTAGGAGCCAGGGCTGGGAAGTCAGACCACCTGAAACACTCCAGGCTTCTCTATGTCCTAACTGTGTATATCAATCACCTAAACTCTGCCCCACTATCCTTTCATGTGAGTGCAAAATATTGGCTATCCAATGTTGCTATTGAAAAAAAAGATGGGGTTAACAGCTGATATGTGCTTAGGAAATGGCCAGGCAGAGCATTAGTGACATTTAAGAAAATGATCAATAAAATCAAAGGAAGGTTTTTAAAAATAACTTTAATCCAGAGATCATGAAGGAATGAAACAAGCTGCTGACCCTGGGGCACTGCGGAGCTTGGGGCTGCTTCAGACTGTAACTTTCCCATGTACTTGAGCTTGAGTTTGGGCTTGAGTTCAGGATCACAGTTGGGCTTGGACTGGGTTTGTACTTGGGGTTGGATTTGAGTTGGTGCTGTCTCCTCAGCCCCCACACTGCTGTTTATATGCTGCTCCATGGAGAATCAGCGCATCAGAACAGAAGCCCCTGCCCTGTGCTGAGGCTGCTCGGTACCCTGGGAATTATACAAAGGAAACTGCAGGTTAGTGCACACACAGGCCTATACCTGCTTATGGCAAGGCAAGATGCAAACATGTTCTCATCCACTGCTCCTTCTCATGAGATAAAGTGCATGTGGGACCTTGGAACCCAGTGTCTCTGAGTAAGAAGTGAAGCCAGCCCTGTCTTTACCACCTCTTCTGGATATACAGAGTCAATATATCAGCATTGCTAAACAATAAACAATTGCAATGCTAAACACAGGTCTGTTTAGCCTGTGTCCTCTATATTCCCATTTCCCTCTCCCCTTTCTCTTAAAATTCCTAACACAGATTTTTTATGCATTTAATTTACATTTTTAGTGGCCAGCACAGCAGAGTTTTGCATGTTTCCCAAGATAATATTGATTAGCGTGAAACAGCAGAATGCCAGCCTTCTGGGAAAAGGCCACAGGAACCAACGTGGATTTAGGAATCAGCACTTCAGGCCTTCAGTGAAGGCAGAGAAGCCTCTGCTTGGGTAGAAGAAAGGAGCTAGTTTGGTGCAGCTTTGTGAGTGGCAAGGTTGGGGGACAGTGCTGTGTGCTTAGATGAAGAAGGAGGAGTATGGATTTGTTCAGGACCCGCCCAGAGCAGCCAACAAATGCACCCTGTAAGGAGAAGGGTCTCTCATGCTTCTGCCCCACTCTGGGATGTGGGAATCAATACTCCAGATTGTGAGAAATAGACCCACTGAGGATACAGGTGGGCAGGATACAGGTGGGCCACACCAGCTTCTCAGCATCCAGAGTTGACAGTGTATTGCCTTAGAAGGGGCACCAAAGGACAGAGTTGCATCCCTGCAGTGAACAAGAAGCAGCAGCAGGCAGGATGAGGTGGACAGAGAGGAAAGTGCCAGTGTGAGCTACCCCACCCTGCCTGTAGGTGCTAAGCTACCTGAGTTTCTCAAGCATGGCCTCTCTGTCTGTTTCCCCAGGACCCTTAACATCTGCAAGTGGGAAAGTGATGAATGAACAAAAGGAGGAAGGAAGGAAGGAAGGAAGGAAGGAAGGAAGGAAGGAAGGAAGGAAGGAAGGAAGGAACGAAGGAAGGAACGAAGGAAGGAACGAAGGAAGGATGAAATGTTGAATTCCCATGCTCAGAAAGTTAAATAAAAAAAAAACAAGAGGGAGTATGCATAAAGTTCACCATTCTATACCACAAGACTGACTGGACTCACCCTGGACTGCTGCAGCAAGCTGCTCAATAAAGAAGGCAGAACACAGAACTCAGGATGTCAGAACATGTCTGACATAAGCATGGAAGTGCAGACAATGCAGAGGGGTAAGTGGACAGAGAACCACACCACATAATTTACCTGCTAAATCCATACAACTGTGATAGTAAATTACAATTACTTAAAATCGCTTTTAAAAAACTGGGGTATGTGGTTGGAGTGTGTGCGTGGGTGCGTGTGTGTGTGTGTGTGTGTGTGTGTGTGTGTGCGCGCATACGGAACCCAGAGCAGGGCATTGTGTGTCTTCCTCTACTGTTTCCCACCCTAATGCCTTGAGATAGGGTCTTTCCCTATATTGGAAGCCTGCCATTTGGGCTAGGCTGGCTGGCCAGCAAGCTCTCGGGATCTGCCTATCTCTGCTTCCCCAATGCTGACCAATGGGTTTATAGACACATAGAGCCATGCCAAGCTTTTTATGTTGATGCTTGAGATTTGAACCCAGGTCCTCATGCTTGTAAAGCAAGTGCTCCTACCCACTGAACCACACATTTCTCAGCATCTGTGATGGCTAATCTTCATGAAATCATTGGTAGAATTTAAAATCACCTAGGAGATACAATGCTGGGCATAGAAGTACAGGAGTTTCCAGATCAGGTTAACTGGGGTGGGAAGACAGTGCTGGACAGCACTGTTCCATGGTCTGGAGCCCATTTCCCATGAAGGTATACTCTCTTAGCCTAGATACACAGGGGAGGGCCTAGGCTCTGCCCCAAATGACTTGACAGAATTTGATGATCCCTCATGGAAGACCTCATCATCCCTGGGGAGTGGATGGGGGATGGGAAGTGGGGGTTTGTGGGAGTGAGGGATGGGGGGGTGGGGGGGAGGCATGGGAGGATGGAAGGGAGAAGGAACTGGGATTGATATTTAAAATAAGATTGTTTCTAATTTAATTAATTAATTTAAATAAAATTTATAAAAAGATAATAAAATAATAGTTATTATTGTTACACATTCATGTGTTTAGACCAGTTTGTTACATTTCTCTATAATATAGACATACCTGTATATGCGCTGTCACTTTTCTGAAGACAGATTTGGGGACTTCCTTATGTGTGGTCTTCCTACATTAAATGTTTTCACAGAATTGTCTGTGATCTTCAAACTTTCATTTGGAGTTCAATTTGAAATCATTTGACATCTTTGGCATTTCTTCTAGAGACATTTATATGTTAGGCAAGGACTTGAACCCAGGGCCCACATGTCAACCACATGTTCTATACTGAGTCACACCTAAAAGCTGAAATGTTTAAGAAAATGCTCCCTGCACAGGCACAGGACACCAAGTGACTCAGACTGCATTGTGCGACGTGGAGGACAGGCTCCATGGCAGAGTGTATAAATGTTTCAGCTTAAATATCCAAACAGGGACTGCCTAATCACACTGTCTTTCTTCAACAGGATCTTTGCAAGACAAAAGTTGCCAAGTAAGTTACCTCTACTATGTGTTTAAGTGTTTTGCCAAATTTAGATGCTACAAAAGCATAACCTTTCTCAATTTCACACTATTCCAGTAAAATAAAATTGGTTAAATTCAGAGTGCTATACAAAGACTCAGAATATTCCAAAGCCCACTTAGCAGAGCTTCAAGACTAAAGCTTGTGTGCGGTCCCAAGTTGTGTTCAGTCCTTTTACATCTTATTTCACGCTTTCTTCACTTCAGTAGAGAGATAAATTTGTTGTTTCCTTATTTGCAAGTCTTTCTTTGAATAAATTCAATTCCCTGGAAGTGTCAAAAATTCTAAAAGAAGATGTGTGTGTGTGTGTGTGTGTGTGTGTGTTACATGCACTGATTCTCAGGATTAAAGATTTATACATGATTTAGAAAAAAATCCTTTCCCAAATTTAGAGGATTTACTTATAAGACTTACACATCACTATTGAATGCATTGGTTAACTCAAAAATAATGCTACAAAGTCTTATATATTTTTAGTATGTGACCAGTGTTGGCGAGGAAGTAGAGAAAGTCCATAGTGTCCTGCTGAAAGATTCTGTATCCAGGTCAACTTCCAAACATTCAATTTTAAAAGATCAATTTTTCAAAAACATAATTTTTGTTATTGTACAACACCCTCTCTACATTTTGTCTTCTTCACTCAGCCCCTCCACCACCACCACAAGGGTGGTGTTCAGGGATGGAGGGACCAGGGACCTTTGTCCCACACCTTGTTCGTGGGCTGAGCACCCATATTCACACATATTCAGGAGCAGGGTTCATGGTATTTAGTAGACTCTGCCCAGTCAATATATATGGCAGTATCAAACTTGTACTTAATATTCATGGGCGTCAAGGGGTTATAAAAGTCTGTGACAATCTGATGAACAAACAAGGAGAGTGCTACTAAGGCAGTAAGAGACCTGCCACTATGAAAATGACGCCTCCAGTCACGGCTATATAGATCCTTTTCACTTTGCCATCTCCCCCATAGCGTGTGAACTTCACGCCCATTGTGGTGGCAAATGTGGACAGGAAGGGACAACACCATTAGAGCTCCAGTAGCCTGTGAAGCCACCGGAAGAGCAAGCACTGAATCCTAGATTTTGTAGTTCATCAAGCCAGTACTCTTTGTGACATTCTCCATCCAGAGCCCCTTACATGACCTGGGCTGTGATGATGTTGTCAGCTGCATCTGAGCTCACCTGCTGCTTCAGGATGGCAGTACTCACCATCAGGTTCACCCAGACAAGCATTGCCATCCTAAAGCCCAGCAGTCACAGGCCTGAATTGGCCATTTCCATCTCAGAAATGATGTGATGCTCTGGGAAGGCAACCCGACAGTAAAACAAAATCTGGGGGAGCAACACAAGAAAATTTGGATGGAGATTTAAGTCACCCGGAGACAAAAAAAAAAAAAAAAGTTTTTGGTTGGATAACTACAAATCTCAACTGAAGTAAACACAAATCATTTCCCTCTGGTGCAGTAACATTCTCACATATTACAGACCAAAGCAATCTTGAAAAGCTCAGAGACTACCCAGGAAGTGGAGGGTCATTAGGGCATGGTCCCCAGAAAGTATGGCGGGGTGCTTCAACCCCAGGCTGCATTGTGCAGCACACAGAGCTGGGTGGTGAGTTGGCAGGTATTCAATTTTACATGTATGTATGAATGCATGCATGCATGTATGTTAGTATCTCTAGGTGTATGCCACATGTATGTGGTTGTCTAAATAGTGTACAAGAGGGCATCAGAGCCCCTAAACTGGAGCGACAAGTGGTGTAAGCCGCTCCATGGGGGTGCTAGAAACTGTGCTCTGGTTCTCTGCAAAAGCAGTACATGCTCTTAATTGCTAAGCTATCTCCCCAACTCTGAAACTCTACATCTTATAGTCTACTCTGATACTTAGAATATCTGATGCTGATCACTGTTATTTGACTGACACAGCTTTTTAAAATCTAATTACTTAATATACATGAACCAAAATCAAAGCCAAATGTGGTTTCTGTTGTTTTCTTAGTAGGAATATTTCGTCTAAGACAATTCTGTGCATTGTCAGATTGGTAGCTGTATATACATCATCACTTCAAAATCAAGAACTTGGGTGTGGCTCAGTGGTAGAGCACTTGCCTAGCATGTATATGGGCATGGTTTGATACAGGGTCCCAATGAAAATCAGGAACTGAAAAGAACACTCCATTCCTAAATCTGAACTTTTAACTGAATTTGCAGTAGTAGCAGCAGCAGCAGCTTCACCCCTGGCTGAGTGAACTTCCAGACGCTCGACTTGAAAAAAGTATGTGAAGTCCATGACAAATCCAATTATCTTCTGCTTGAAGGATTTGGTGACACCATTAAGCACTGACATCATTTATCTGTTTGCAAATTTCCCTTCTGTCTAGCAACACAAACCTCCATTGTTTTGTTTTTACAAATGTAACTGGGAAAGCTGAGAATTGCAAACAGTAAAATTAAATTAGAAGACCAGTTATCAGGCCTAAATGAAAATCTTGCTACTTAAATGCATTTCCTGCGGTCATATCATACTGGCAATTTACAGACTTCTCTTAAAGCAACATGAGCTCATGAGGCAGTCATTGAGGCCTGTACAGTGACTTGGATCTCCCAGGCTCCAAGTGATCAGCAATTTGACCCTCCTAAACACTGGCACCCAGTTTGTGTGCATTATGTTTATCATTGACTGTCTTGAAGGATGGAAATGTGGGACTTGTTGTTTTGTTTTTGTTTTTGTTTTTGTTTTTTGTAGCAAACTTTTTGGTTCTTCATTCATTTCAATGGGAAAAAAAACAAAAACAAAAACAAAAACAGCAAGCAATGTGGGAGCACTTCTAAATTTATACACACAGCAAAGTCACAGCAGCTGCCATTTCAGTCTGTCTGGCCTGGGTCAGACCTGCCTGGCCTCTGACTTTCATAGGCAGGGCACTGTGTCATCCTGACTTCCCTAGCTTATTTCTGGTGCTGTGTTCACAGCATAGCAAGGGAAAGGGTCCCACTGTACCAAATAACCAGCAGGACAGTGACAGTGAAGAAGGGACCATGGCAGCAAGACTGGAAGGATAGCATCCACCTCCTCCATAATGTTGTCCTTAAAAGAAAGGAATTTGATGAGCCACATTTGGAAAAGTCAGGAAATAGATAAAGCAAGTTATTCACATCTCAGAGCTAGCCACCAAATAAGGAACTTCTTCATCTAATTTAGATTACTGAATTTCAGTCTTCCTCTCGCACATATATTTTAATTTGTATACCCTAAACGTGCTTTTAAAAGATTTGTTTTAATTATGAGTTTGTGTGTGCACGCATGTATGAGTAGGTATGAGTCTGAGAGACCACAGAGAGCACCAAGTGTCCTCTTCCATCACCCTCCATCTATTCTTTGAGGCAGCATCTCTCTCAGAGCATAGAGCTTGAGTTTTCTCAGCTAGGCTGGGAGGCAGCAAGCCCCAATGATTTTCCCATCTCTGGCCTCTCAGAGCTGAGGTTACAGGAATGGGCAGGATGCCTGGCTTGTTCTATGGGTCCTGGGACTCAGACTCCAGTACTCATTATTGCTAAGCAAGGGCTCTCCACCACTGAGCCATCTCTCCAGCTTCCTTCTGGCCCCTTCAAGTCTTTTCTTAAGGCAACAGTGACAATAACTGAAACAGAAAGTCTGTGTGACCTGGTTGTCCCCATTCTTGTCACACCTACAGGGAGAAGGGCTCCCTGAGAATGAGTGGCCCGATTTTATTGTATTGTCACAAGTCTCATGTAGTTCAGACTGATCTCAAACTCAACTAGGATGTGGATGACATAGATTCTGATCTTCAGGCCTCTATTTAACAAGCCCTGGGATCGCAGTGTTGCACAAGGCCATCCAATCTATGTGGTACTAGGGAGTTTGTTTACATGTGTACCCTACAATAGAGCTACATGACCATGTCTAGAAAGCATCCCTTAAGATCACCCTTGGAAGACCCATTTCCTAAGAATTTCCTGGTTTTAAAACCTCTCTGTAAAGAGCCTTTGGGAACCACACTAATTCATACAATGGTTGACTATTATGATTCTTCTCTTATTAAAAATTTAGATTGCTAGTAATGGTCACATCTAATAAGTATTCTAAAGGGGTGCAGTGCTTGTATGGAAATATCGGTTTATTCTCCAGGTTGTTTTCCTAGGATAGATTACCTTGAAAGAAAATGACTTCAACCCAGCACAAACATGTTTAAAGCTCCTGATGCCCTCCATTGCTTTTCTGAAAGGTTGAAACAACAATTTTTGCTCCCGTTGATACCCACTGCTGTTCTGCACTCCCCTGTGTGGGACGCAGTGCTGGATGCAAGAGGCAGGGAAAACAGAGGACTCTGCTTGGGAAGAGAGAGGGAGGCCTCAAGATCATGTCTCCTCCTCAGACATGGGGCTGGCTCTGTCTATAAGCCCCTCTTATCATAAACACATTCACACGCACACATACACACACACACACACACACACACACACACACACACACGCACGCACGCACGCACATCAGCATACACTGTGCACGACACAAACAAGCACAGGGAAGGATCTATTTGCTCCAGTGTCTACCCACATTTATAAATAACCCTGTCCCCTCCTGTATCATCCATCTCTCTTACAGCTTTACAAGGTGGCCTTATTAAATTGCTATTTTGGTATTCATAGCATGTATTTTATTATGCTGCAGCCATAGCACCTTGGGGGAACACAGCCCCATAAATAAAATATTCACCTATCACTGCAGCCAAGGTT